CAGTGAGTTCATTTTGGCACGAGGCCAGGAATGATGAAAGCAGGGAAAGCAGAGAAAGCTGTCAGCAGCAGGCGTGATGAAGAGGTTATTCTATCTTGCAAACTCAACAAAAAAAACAGAAATAAATAGAAATATGAACACAATAAAAATAGTTGAACATTCTGAAGCTTTTTTCTAGTGTAAGTAATTTGAAGTAGATGAAAACCCAATCACTAAAATGTCATATAAACTTTTTTTCCTGCTCTAGTAGGGAAAGAAGGGAAGGAAGGGAAGAAAAAAGAAGACCCCCAGCAAGGTTATTTGTGTTTGGTCACTTTCTGTACCAGAAATAATGATCAACAGAACCCAGGGCCACTGTTAGAAATCATGGGGCCCTGTACAGCTTACCTGACGGGGGACCCAAGCCACTCCCCTGACTCCACCCACCGGGGCTGCTTTGTGCAGAAATATTATACAGAACAGGTAAGTATAATATGTTTGTTATTTTAATAAAAATAAAAGCTTTACAATCACTTTAAGACACTTCTAAAGTCATTTTTTGTTTTTTAAAACTAGACAAATATGACATTTCCCTGCTCCTGTAGTTTCCTGGGAAGTAACTCCATCACATATTCCAGGAGACTGCAGGAGCAGGGACGTACAGTGATGTATCATCAAGTGCTGGCTGCAAAAAAGCTGGCTACTGCTGATGTCAAAGAGAAGATGGCAACTCCAGACCTAGCATGTGACAGAACAATGCTGAAATTTCTGGGCATGTATGTTAATTGTGGATAAGCCACACAGTAACGGAGTACGAAAAAATTTCCACAGTGAGGAAGTGGGGAATGGTGAAGTGCTTCTTTAACCACTTAAGCCCCCAATCCTTTTTTACCTAAATCCCCATGAGTAGCAGAATAGTGGGAGTGGTTTAAATTGCACTAAACCTTGGGCGTGGCTTAAAGAGGGCGTGGTTAGAGTGCTTAACAAATCTTGAGTGCAATTAAGAAGCAGTTCATTGATGGATGTGGAATGTTTACTTCACAGATTTCCTTTTTATTTATTTTTTCTTCTTGAATATTGTCCAGCTTTCTTCATTTTGAATACCCTCACAGGCTCTTAGCAAGGTGAATTAGGATAAATGAACGAGGAACTGTTCACCTAAACATCAATATGGAGTGTATTGTGGTCGATGGTATGTACAGGAAAGAGGTACAGAGTGTATGGTGGTGGGTGATATGTACAGGAAAGGAGTGTGGAGTGTATGGCGGTGGGTAGTATGTGCAGGAGAGGGGTATGGAGTGTATGGCGGTGGGTAGTATTGGCGGTGGGTAATATGTGCAAGAGAGGTGTATGGAGTGTATGGTGGTGGACGGTATGTACAGGAGAGAGGTACATGGTATATGGCGGTGGGTAGTATGTGCAGGAGAGGGGTACAGAGTGTATGGTGGTGGACAGCATGTACAGGAGAGGGGTACATAGTGTATGGCAGTAGGCAGTATGTGCAGGAGAGGAGTGTGGAGTGTATGGTGGTGTTTGGCATGTGCATAAGAGGAGTGTGGAGTGTATGGTGGTGTTTGGCATGTGCAGGAAAGCGGTATGGAGTGTATGGTGGGTGGTATGTACAGGAGAGGAGTGCGGAGTGTACTGCAGTGGGTAGTATGTGCGAGAGGAGTGCAGAGTGTATGGTGGAGGGTGGTATGTTCAGGAGAGGAGTGAGGAGTGTACTGCAGTGGGTAGTATGTGCAGGAGAGGAATTCAGATTGTATGGTGGTGTGTGGTATGTACAGGAGAGGGGTACGGAGTGTATGGTGGTGAGTGGTATGTACAGGAGGAGTGTGGAGTGTATGGCGGTGGGCAGTATGTACAGGAGAGGGGTATGGAGTGTGTGGTGGTGGGTGCTATGTGCAGGAGAGGGGGGTACGGAGTATATGGTGGTGAGTGGTATGTACAAGAGGAGTGTGGAGTGTATGGCGGTGGGCAGTATGTACAGGAGAGGAGTATGGAGTGTGTGGCGGTGGGTGCTATGTGCAGGAGAGGGGTATGGAGTGTGTGGTGGTGGGCGGTATGTACAGGAGAGGGGTATGAAGTGTGTGGTTTGGGCAGTATGTGCAGGAGAGGGGTATGGAGTGTACGGTGGTGGGTACTATGTGCAGAAGAGTGGAATGGAGTGCATGGCAATGGGCGGTTTGTGCAGGAGAGGGGTATGGAGTGTATGGTGGCGGGCAGTATGTACAGGAGAGGAGTGCAGAGTGTGTGGTGGTGGGTGATATGTGCAGGAGAGGGGTATGGAGTGTATGGTGGTGGGTGGCATGTATAGAAGAGGGGTACATGAGTGGTTGGTGGTAATGCCAGCTGTGAGAAACTGGGAAAGCAACGTATATTACTATTCCATAAACTGCTGCAATGAAAGGTGATGATGGAAGTGGGGTGGAGAGAGGAAAAGCAGCAGGGGTGAAGAGAGTGGGATGAGCAATTGAGTGGTAATGTGAGCTTGGACACTGGCAGTGGAGGAAAAAAGAGTTGTGGCAGGATGAAGGAGCAATGAGGAAGGACTGGAATGCTGGCTGTATTCTGAGGCTGGGACAGTTGCAGATAAGAGATGGAGCATACAGAGGGATAACACTAGTAGGTGACAAGACTGTGGACGGGGAAAGACTGAGGATCAATTGTCAGCTCATCAAGAGGGAGAAGGGAGGAGGGGAAGTGGGGTGCTGCAGGTGTAGTGAGAGCCAGACAAGCAGTGGGAGAGCAGAGACTGACATGAGCAGATGGACAGATGGATCGGGTTGTGGGATTTGTTATCAAGGGTGCAGTGATGGGGGCAGAGAGTCTGTCAAATACCTTCTACAAAACAGATACAGAGGTACAGAGGCAGGAGAGGATTGTGGCAGCGCTGCATAGTGAAAGAAGACAGGAGGAAGAGTTGGAGGGTCAGCTGTCAAACTCTTTCCACTGGGCTGCATGCAGGGATTTCTATCACCTGATAATCATACACTGTCCCGAGTGATAGCAGCAGTGCCCCTCAAGGTCGGATCTGGCCCGATGGGGCCCGTTGTACTCGTCCATGGGTGCAGTATTGGTCAGAGCACAGCCCCTCCCAGGGCCCCCCTGCTAGATGACAGGGCCCGGTCCGCCTACAGGAGGCCCGGTGGTACCCCCTTATCGAAAAAGAAGTTTCACTGTTAGTGATAAAGGTGATTGTAGCCGTATTAGTGCATTTGCGACAGAAACAATTGAGTACTGTCCGTGATACTTTTTTTATTTGCACTAACATACAATTTTGAGGACAAGCTTTTGGGGTTTGTCCCCTTCTTCAAGGTCCAAGCAGTACTATACAAATCAAAGTTTTAGCAGAATGTTAGAAGAGATGAAAAAAAAAAAAAGAGGCTAGAGATAAGACACAGCAAAAGCAAAAGGGAGGGGGGGAGGGGGGGGGGGAGACAACACTCACATCACAGAGGGAGTCAAGCTTGAGCTGATAGTCATAAAACTGTTGGATAATGATTGAGGAATCCCATGTCCAAATTCAGGCCATTATCTCTTGTGTCAAATAGAATTATCATTCTTAGTTCAAAAGTTTTTCTTTCCTGAATGGATTTGAAATTTCTTTTAAGAACTAAAATATTGAGGTCTCCCATTGTGTGGTCTGGTTGTGCGAAATGGTGTCCCAGAGGTGTGCAGAGGTCATCTTCTTTATGTTCCTTGATGGTATGTCTGTGCAATTCATACTAATTGCAATGCACTTGCGATCTGCTGGCAAGGTCAGTTAAAGTTAACCACACCCCAAACGCATGTCGCAAATGCTTTGCGTTTACACGCACCGGCCTGCAACAAACTGCACGGTACCTTGTAGTTGCTGTTCACTTAAAATTAGCATGGTGCGGTGTGATTTTAACCCAATCAAATGAATGGGCTTGAAATGACACCGCATAGACCAGCATATGAATCGCACAGGTATGCACAGCACGTTCCTGTGCAATTCAGATCAGGGCATAGTGTGAACTGGCCCTTACTCAATGAAAAAAAAAAAAAAAAAAAAAAAAATATATATATATATATATATATATATATACACACACACACACACATATATATATATATATATATATATATATATATATATATATATATTTTGTTGTAGTAAAATTTGGCACTGAGAGAAGATTATTGCTCAGTGATAACGGTAACGGCTCCCCATACAGTGAAGCAGACTCTGTAGGAATATAAAAAAGACACAAGGGGGTGCCAACCTAAGTGCAGTATGTATAAAAAATTTATTATTATTTATTTATTTCAGGTACTTATATAGTGCCGTCAATTTATGCAGCGCTTTACATACATATTGTTTATTCACATTAGTCCCTAACCCTCAAGGGGTGTACAATCTAAGGTCCCTAACTCACATTCATACATACACATACTATCGACAATTTAGACAGGAGCTAATTCACCTACCAGCATGTCTTTGGAGTGTGGGAGGAAACCATAGTACCCAGAAGAAACCCACGCAGGCACAGGGACAACATGCAAACTCCAGGCAGGTGGTGCCGTGGTTGGGATTTCGAACCATTTAGCCACTGTGCATTAACAAAATAGCCAAATAGGTACTAACAAGAAGGTAATAAGATAGGGCGTTGAAAAGGTTAATTGCTTGTTTAGGTCTAGGGGACATAAAAAAGAAGCTCTATTTACCCTAACCTCTGCAGTTTTGCCCTGCTAGACCGGTCCTCGCAATATCTGCTTCCCATGATCCAGCAGTCTAAGGTCTTGAAGTCATCAAGACCAGCGCAGGGTCGATATCCCTGCTTTGGACATGATGATGCAGAGGGACAGTCCACTGATGAAGAATGGGAAAACATCATAAGCTGGGGGAATGGAGGATCTGGTAAGATAAAGTGCAAAGATTCTCTCTTAGAGCAAAGCAAGCAGTTCAGTCTTGCAGTTCAGATGCAACTCCACTGAAAAGGTATCATTTTTAAGCTTCCTGAAGTTGGGCTTTAATGACTATTATTGAAGCTTCTGTAGCCTCCCTGGTGGTATTCCCGAGTGTAGCTCGGGGTAAAGTTTCAGTACCACAAGCGGTAACCCCGAGCTACACTCGGGCTTACCATGCAGCGCTGCTTCGGGATCCCTCAATCACTTACCTTGTCCTGCACTCCCGCGATGTCCCTCCTGCAGTGTCACCTGTAATGTCCTCCGGCGGATGCCGGCATCTGTCATCTGGGTTCCGTCCCCTGCGAGCGTCGGGACGTACGGGGACGGAACAGCGGGAAATTTGAAAATGACAAAAAGTGACATTCACTAAATACACTAAAATCACATAGTAAAACATTACTGTATCAAACCATTTCACATACATTTTGTCCGAAGTGCTTTGTCCTGTGCCCTGCCTACATTTTTACCGTTCTTTCTGCCTGGAAACTGAGAAACGTCCATGGCATCCGAAAAAGCGTCCCTTTAGGTCAAAATCGGTTTTAGACCAGCTAGAGAACAGCGATAGTAAATTAGAACTACTTGCAGAATTGATTGATAATGATTTGTGGGGAAATTCGTCATCAGACACTGAAAACAATTCTGCAACTTTGCTCAGTGATGTGTGAACTTGGCGCTATATTTCAAATTTCAATGTTTTTGGTTTGAATATATTATTGAATTAAATTATTATATTATTATTTTTTAGGATTATTTATTATATTATAATTTATGATTTTGTGTTTCAAATTTTAACATACCCGGGATTTTTACTAGACTCTTGTTCAGACAGATTTCAGTGAGTTATTCCTAAAAATTACAGGCCTACAATAAAAAAAAAATACATATTTCCATGCAAAAAATGTACCGCTTTCAGCACAGAAATATGGACATAATCAGACTGCTAGGGAGGTTAATGTGTGTTTTATATTTGCCTAGAATTCATATTTGATTGATGAGAACCATTAAAATGAATGAATATTTCCCGTGCTGACTGGTGCCAATTACATTGTTCTTAGCTATTTTTTGAAGACTACAGAAATATGTCCCTTTTTTAATGCAATAGAAGACGGGTGAATTAATGTAGTTCTATCCTGTTTATGTTGTCCTCATACAATAAGGTGAGTGAGTAGTGTTGGCAGGTGAAAATAGAAGGAAAAAAAGTTGAAAAAGTAAAGTACATTTAATGATTGGTAAACTGCAATCTGTTACATATTTTTGAGTTTAGATACACTATAAGTATGTAAAATTATATAACAGGAAGATTTAAACTGACTCATCACCAATGAATTGTGAATGAATGAGAAGTATCAGATGACTATTCTAATTAGAATGTTATTGAAAGGGCAGAGTGTCAACGATTAGGTCAGAGATCAGTTAAAAGTGAGCAAGCACATAGCAACTTTGTATGAGCTGTCATGAATATGAAGCTATAAATACTATGCTTATACTCCTGACATTGACAGATCAGTGAGATCTTCAGTCACTTGTGCCAGTTTGTTACTGTAATAGTATCAGCATATTACTTTATATTACATACTGGCATTTGTGTTACTTTTCTAATTTCTTATTATTTTATTTTGTTATTATCAACTTTCCAGGACATCATGTGATTATTAAATGTGGGAATGTGAAAATGTCACACCTGCCAGGATTTTTTTCTAGTGCTGTAAAAATATAATCAGTGTCATAAAACAATGCATATGAATAAACAGGAAAGACCTTTCTTATCTATGGGAATACAGCAATGCACATTATTGAATGTGTTTTTATAAGCAGACATGTAAATTTTTTTTCTTGTATGCATTATGCAAGGTGGGTTGAAGAACCTTCAAAACAGAGAATTTACCGTGTTTCAAATGTGCTGAAAACAAAGCTGCAGATTTGCTGCATTGCAACAACCTCCCAGGATACATAAATTGGGACTATTGGGCTCATCCAGGCCTGAAGTCTTCATGGGTACATTCCTAAATCCACATAACCATCTTTTACAACTTCCTCATTATGGGGGCTACCACAGACCCAACATTCTTGCTTACATGAAACTTATAATATATACAATCTCAGGAGAACAAAAAAAAAAAACAATAATAATACAAAGTTGTGCAACTATGATGGAGACATTTCTTTTTCCTCGCTTTTATTTTTTCTTTAATGTAATTTATTCTGATAAATATATTTTTTGTCTAGAAGTTTAGAATATTCTGTTTCTTTTTTTGGGGCGACCTGCTTTCACACAAAATCTTGTGGGTATATGAGTTAAGTTTTCTTTTCATGGGTGGATATCTTCATCTTGTCAACTGTACAGAATGCTATTTTAAAATTTAGTTTAAGCCATAATTTAAAGGAAAATGGCATAGTAAGTGAATATCCAGTATTTTATAAATTGCTTATATTCACATTTTTCTTTGTTTCTGGACAATATATAATTAATCTATTTGTTTTTGGATATGTCAGAATGTCTACCCTTGTCCCTGTTTTTATAATATTTAAAATATAATAAAATAAGATTAAAACAAAAAAAAATTAAAAAAGGAAACAAAGTTGTGCAACCATGTATGTCTATCCATATAAAACAATGTGTTATTAAAATCCTTGAAAAACATCAAAACCACAAAGTCACACTAATGAGGCACCAAATAGCATGTATCAAAAAATTCCTCTAAAACAAATTGTAAATGTTGTATAGGGAATAACACTCCATCCAGTTAACATTTTGTGGTTGTATGCTGGGAAACAGATATAAATCTCTTGTGTCTATTGAGCAGAATGTTCTTTACATAGGAACACTTATAAACTAAAATTCCTTGATCTAGATAGCCCTTTAATGGGAACACTAATTCTAAAAGGGACCAATCAGATAATATATTTGTGTAGTGCTTTCTCTTTTGTAACCCACTGGACAGCAGATTATTACAAGATTACTTTTTTCACCTGAATTTTATTAGCAATACAATAACAGGTACAACATTTAATCTGCATAAAATACGGTTACAAATTTGACAAAGGCATGTAAAAAAATGTAATATGTTCAGACCAAGAGATGGTGAGTACAGAATGGTTACATGTCAGGTACGCTTATTGTAATTCAGGGAACATGTAATTTACTCATAGGGTATCATCAGCTGGTGTTAAGAATTAATGTTGATAGCCGAAATATGTGTTATTCTCCTTGTTGTGTTAGGACCCTTGATATAAGCCAGAATAAGGGGGAGTAGACAAGAAGCATTTTTTATACTTAATACTTTTGCTGCCAGATCCTTTTTTAAATTTTTTGCACATGTTTAAAAAAATCATTTTAGGCCTGAAGATTACACAAAACCCCTAGACTGTATATGTGTTCTGAAAGCAGACATCTTTGAGAATAAACTAGTGGTAGTTCCAAAATTACAGCAAAGGTCTAAAAATGCAAAATGTCAGCAAAATACATGCTAAGGGGAATTTTAGGGAAAACAAATGCGATACATTACCCGCTTTTTTGGCAAAATATAAGAGACAAGGTTATAATCAGTGAATAAATATCCAGCATGTCAAATCTTAAATTTGTGTACAGCGAGAAATTTCAGTACCCTATATTTTCTATAGACAACGTTGCAAAAGCCCATACAGCTCATCAGTTTAGTGTTACGAAGGAGCTCTTATACTAGAATTAATAATCTAACTCTGGCGTGTGCGGCGATACGTAACATGTGTATTGCAATTGATATTTTCAGGTGCCCCCGACCCCGCATGCCTCCTTTGGGCTCCACTGAATGTATTGCATTGCAGATTGCTTTGCAACACATTACAAAGTGACAGGGTGACCTGGAAGTGACATCATACATGTTTATTTCTTGGTCACAGGCATTTTTTTGAGGGGGGTAAAGGTGAACTAGCACTTTAAGTAGAATATCTTCATGGGAAGAAATGAAATAAAAAAAAATGTGGAAGAAAAAGAGAGACAAAAAAAAGAATGAGAGGAAATGGTGAAAAAAAAGGGGAGGGGAAATTGATAGGGAAGGCAGAGGGAATTGAGGGGAAAGAGAAAGGAATGGGAAAGAAAAGGGAGATGAATACCCTAGAGCAGGGCTTGAAAAAGCCACTCGCCCACTCGCCGAATGCGAGGAGAAATTCCTCTGTGGCGAGCAGCTGCGAGCGGTGAGCACAGATGAAGCATGGAGCGACTGCACCTGTGCTCCAAGCGTCATTGTGAAGCCGAGTTCCGGTTTACAACTTCCGGTTTCCGGCTTCTGTGGCACCGCAGCCGAGGGGACAGGTGCAGGAGAGGTCCGCTCTCCTCCGCTGAGAGGGGGACACCCTCTCCAACACTGCAGGGGACTTGGGGGGACAGTAAGTACTGTATACAACATATCCTATCACTATAATGGAGTACAGGGGAGCTGGGATATACATTACTCAGTAATGTATATCCCAGCTCCCCTGTACTCCATTATAGTGATATGACATGTATACAGTAATGTATATCCCAGCTCCCCTGTACTCCAATATAGTGATATGACATGTAGACAGTAATGTATATCCCAGCTCCCCTGTACTCCATTATAGTGATATGACATGTATACAGTAATGCATATCCCAGCTCCCCTGTACTCCATTATAGTGATATGACATGTATACAGTAATGTATATCCCAGCTCCCCTGTACTCCATTATAGTGATATGACATGTGTACAGTAATGTATATCCCAGCTCCCCTGTACTCCATTATAGTGATATGACATGTATACAGTAATGTATATCCCAGCTCCCCTGTAAACCCAGCTCCCCTTTACTCCATTATAGGGCAAGGTTGGGTGGGGCAACTGGTGGAGAGTAAGTTTTGTGACCGGCTAGTAGGTCTGGACTCGAAATTTTAACCCCTGCCCTAGAGGCTGTCAGGGGTGGTTGATTGAATTCAGAATATTGTTCAGTAGTCACATTGGGGCTTATTTACTAAAACTGGAGAGTCCAAAATCAGACTCCCTTCTGCATAGAAACCAATCAGCTTCCAGGTTTCATTGCCAAAGCTTCATTGAACAAGCTGAGGTTAGAAGCAGATTGGTTTCTATGCAGAAGGGAGTCTGATTTTGGACTCTCCAGCTTTAGTAAATAAACCCCACTGTGTCTAGGAAGGGTAGGAAATATTTATGGTTGTCAAATTGAAAGGAATTTGCCATGAGTATCAGTTAGAATAGCTGTTGGCTCCTCATAGATAAATGTGCCTTGTATGCAATTCTTCACTTTAAAGTTGAGGGATGACGGGGGCGTGTCCAAGATGGCGACCGGAGCGGCCGCATAATCCGGAGCTCCGTCGCCGACCTACACAATCCACCGCCATCCGTGCTGCTGCGGACCACGGCGGAGCGGCTGGATCCTTAGGTGCTTCCCCTGTGCCTGGGAGAGAGGCCC